CAGTTTCCAAACTGACTCCTCAGGCATCCCAGCATTTCTTGAAAGTTGGCAGGGGGTGGGGGTCCTTAATAAGAAGTCCAGCAATGGTGAACAAACCTTCCGGAAGAAACATTACTGCTGTTCTCCTGCAATGAGACACAAAGCCAAGGAAGTGTTGAGTGTGTTCTAGGGTGCCCATAATGATACCACCAGTCACCCACCAACTAGCAAGCCAAGACTCCAGCTAGATTTTCCCACCCTGCCCTAGAGTAGGACCTCAGTGTCTTTGCAACAGTTCTAGCAGATGCACTGAAACTGAAAGGGCTCCACAGAACTAAAACTTGGAAGTGTCTTCCAGAAGCCAGAAAGTGCAGTGATATTGCAGTCTCACTTCTGTCTAGTGAGGTCCTGTCTAGTGAGGCGACATGGATATGTGAAGCTTATCCTGAGCAGTGTTGTGTGGAACTGCCCATCCCCGTACACAAGACAGCTGTGTGACTCTGCCTGCTCTCTCTCCTAGAACCTCCTCTTACATTTAATCTACTGCCAGAAATTGGGAATAGAGTTTGAAGGCCCCTTTTTAACAATTAGTTTACCTTTGAGGAAAGTTGTGGTCAGGGCCCTCATTGGCTACCTCTTTATCCCTTTCCAACTGTTCTCCTCCTCCTATTCCCTATTCTTATTCTGGGATTGCTGGGTTGGTCCTGAATCTTCCAGATGCTGTCCCCTACGGTTGTTCATTGGTAGTGTTTAATTAACATTTTTACTTGTTTCTCAATATATTCTAGAAAGAAACCTTGCAGGAGGAAAATATTGTCTGTGAGACATATATTGAGTAGGTAGTACCTGATGTAAATTCCTAGCATGATCATTTTAACCCTGCCTCTTCTGGAGCAGTTATATGTTGGGGAAATGGTGGAGAACGTGCTGATCAGAGCTCTAAGGAAAGGGATCAAAGGATTCTAGGTGATAGCTCTTTGATCATTGGGACCACCACCATAAAGCTTTTCTGCTGCAGTCTGGCTGCCACCTTTGAAAATCTGAAACTGGGCCAGCTCATGGGTGTCCTTCAAACAGAGCAGAACAATGGAGAGCTTTGAAGCAGTGAATCTGATCACTTCTGGGCAACCTGCCCTCTTATGGATGCTGGAGAGCCCTTGAAAAGTGTAGCTCACATCAGCTTCTGCCCACCTGGTCCTCCTTGCCCTCTCTTCTCCTGTGGGTAGCATCCAAAGGCAGGATAGTTGCACAGTTTTCTAGCACAGGTATACACATGTGCACAGAAATACACACTTGGCTGTTTTTAAACTTTTTTTTAACCTCTGTATTCCTGAGCCTACACAGATATCTCCTCTTTGAAATGGAGGAGTTGAGGGAATGACTCCGAAAGAAAACATGCAGGTCTTGGGCCTCAGGGACCAGCCTGCTTCCTTCTGAAGAAGCCTCTGTTGTCCCCACAATGGAAGGCACCCTTGGTTAGTTTGCACCCCCACCCCTTCTCTTCCTTAGAAACTCGGTAAAGACACATCTCTTTTCCCAGGCCTTTAATAGTTAATTATTTTATTATTCATGTTTTAATTTACTTGTTTTATCGTTTTGTACTTGGCATGCGTGCGTGTGCACGGCTGTGCTGATTTAAATTGCAACTTGCCTAGAATGTTCATTTCGAACAGAACCAAATATAACGATAATTCTATAAATGTATAGATCAAGTAAATCATACATAATCAAGTAAATAATTAAAATCTGGAGGCCTTGTTTAATCGGCTGTATGTCTGTGTGATCCAGAGCATTAAGGAAAAGGATCAAAGGTGTCTGAGGCATTCTCTGGCAAGGCGTCCTCCGCGTGTCTCGGCATGCCACCCCTATGGGCAAGCCCAAAATCAGCCACTTCCGTCCACTTCGGTCACGTGGCTCAACGCGGTAGCCGGAGGGCTGTCACTTCCACAAATTAAATATTAGGGAGGGAGTTTAAAGTTCAACCTCCTCTCTCCCCCCACCCCTGCTCAGATTTTCTGCTCCGCGCTTTACTTGTTCTGCTTGAGCGCCTTGCTGACGAGTGCTAATAGCAAAATGCCACGCCAGGGTCTGGTTGGAGTTTCCCACGTATTAAACATTCTGAACTTGTCCTTTTGCTCAGAGATTGTGCATAATTAATAATTAAACAGCTTCTGTTGTAATGGGTTGACCTTCTTGAACTGTTCATTATTCACAAGGTAGAGGCAATCACTCAAAACACTCCCACCACCATCAATGCCACCCCGAATGGCGCGTCTCTGCATTTGTCCTGCCCGCATTCAGAGGAGTCGGTGGGTTGCCTTCTGTAAGAACTGGCGTTGCCTCCGTCATCAGCCTCTCACGAGGCATGTAGGGGCCTTGCGTGGAGAACAGGGAGTGTTAGGAGGACCTGCAATGGGGACGATTTGAATCCTCACTATTGTAATTTGTACGCCCACCAAAAGGTGTTGGAAATGTCTGGTTCAGATCCTGCTGGAGCCAAAAACTCCTGCTCGGCCTTCAGCCAGACATCCTGTCTCCCCTCAGGAGGGTTTCTGCGAGGATGAAGATGGGAGGAGGCAGAGACGCCAGCCCTGCAGTCAGGAGTTACGGGGCCTAGTTTGGATTCATGAGAGCTCATGAGGGGCTCTCACAAAATGGCTACCGTGGGGGGAGGGACGTGGCCATTTGCAAAGTGGCTGCTCTGGTGGCACCTGTCCAAGAAGGGAAACTGGTGAGGCTAAAAGGAAAGAGACTTGCTCAGGGCCCAAAGTACAAGGCAAGGCTTTGGGGGAACCACTTTTATTTAAAAAAAAAAGCAAGACCCTTGATAAAGACACAGCGTTTGCCTTTCCAGAAAACAGCAAAATAACATTGGCATAGAAGGCAAACCGACCCTCCTCGAGGAAGCAGAACGAGATACCTGCCCATCACAAAACAAGGGAAGACCCACACGCACACAGGAAAAATGGACTAAAACCAGCTTCTCGAGCTGCATCGACCTTGTGGGTCGCTCAGGCCGTGCAAGTGTGTAGCTCAGAGCCGAGGTTGGGAAAAAAGGGGTCTACAGACTCGCCTCCCAGGTTAAAAAAGAGATTATTTTAAAAGACCATCCAGTGGGACAGGGAGTCCGGCAGCTACCAAGATAACCACTGCAGAGCGTAAGGTCCTGCGGGCAAGTGATTAGGGACCCCAAAGCTGGATTAATCCAGGACCTCTAATGAGGGGAGGTCGTGTCTGGCCGGCCGGCTGGGGCAGAGAGGCTTCCTAGATGTGGGACCAGCGGATCCCCAATGAATGTCCCCCGATCATCACTTCCAAATTTCACAGGGAGCTCACATCTGCAAAACCCCTCCCATCCGCCATACGAGCAGGTCTACCTTTCAGGTTTGTCGTAAGGAGTATTGTGGAAGGAAGACACCAAAGCCCTTTGCAGGTTCTCCTCGGGTAACATCAGCGCTAAGCAAACAGCATCGGTAGGCAGGTCACTCGCTCCGCTTCCTTGCAGGGCTGTTGGGCAAGACGAGGCTTCTAGGCATATCTTTATTTGTTCAGCCGCCGCGCGACCCACAAAACGCGTGTCGACGGCAATCCACGGGATCTTGTCGCCTTTTACTCTTCAGTTACTTTTGATTTAATTGTGTTTTGCTGCAATTTCTGTTTGTTTGAATTGGAAACAAAGCCTTAATAAGAGTTCTAGTTAATTTTCTATCTTGTAATTACCACTCTCATTTTTCTGATAATTGGCCCGTCGCAATTATATGTATATTTACTAATCACTTCAGCAGCTCAGTGGTTGCTTCTCACTGCCGCCATTGAGGATGACATGCACACACACGTGTTTGTGGAGGGGCTTTCGTCCTCCCCCCTCCTCTTTAAATTTTTCCCCCTTCTCCCCATCACATCCAAGCCATTTCCCTCGCAACCCTCCCTAACGAACCCCACACGCGCATTTGACACAGTTGTGTGCGAGAGAAATTGTTTGGCTCCCACCAAATGTTACACGCTCTGAGTTTCTTGCCTGCAGCATCGGAAGGTTGTATGTGATGATAGATGGGCCTCGCAAACGGCCAAAACAGGCAAAGCACGGGGAGATTAAAATAAGTCATTCCTTTGTTAATTTAAATAGGTGCATGCATCATACTTTGCAGAGCACTCGGGGACAGAGCGGGGGTAAGGTGGTGGGGGAAACGTGGCAAAAGCTGCCGAAAGATATTTTTAATAGCAAATGAGAATAGATGAGAAGCGAGTCATTTGCAGCTGATTCCTGTTCGATGTGGCTCTCTTGTTCCAACTGTAGGACTAATGAGATGGCTGTTAAAGTCCTCCACAGTGCAATTTCATTATATCCTGAGCTGTTACTCTATAAACACTGGCAAGTCTCTCTGTCATGGGGGGGGCGCAGCGGAGCCTCCTCCTCGGCGCGTGCCCCTCGCGCTCTTTCGCAGAGGCGGCTCTCCTCCCCTTCAGATAATGCGCCCCCCCCCGTGGTTGCGGAATATATTTGTGGCTTCTCCCTGGGTTGGATTTGTGGTTAATTAGCCCGGCTCTCCGTTTTCAAGTTCTTCAGACTCCCCTGGCCTCTCCTGCTTAAATCTAACAAGATTTGGGATTGCTAAGTGTAAATAAATAGCAACTATGATGCAGGAAGCGAAGGTCAACACAAGAATAATTTCCCAGCTCTTTGTTAATTACAAGACCATTTGGGTGTTACTTAAATAATCATTAATTTCTCATTTACACTTTCGCTACCTTCCTTCCTGCCCCGTGGCTATCATTGTCCGTTTTCGACTTCCTCTTGGTCTGATTTCTACATGTTTTACCCACTGCATAACTCATTACTTTTAAATGCAGAGTTTCCTTTTATTTGTTTTTTTGGTTTGCTTGTTTTGTTTTGTTTTCCGTCGGAGAACGACTATGCGCAATGTACAATTTGGACTCACGCCTTCCCATTCTTCTCCTTTCCTCCTTTCCTCCCTCCCCCCTCGCCCTCTCCCCCACCCCTGGCCAAAACGGGCTTGTAGGAATCTCCTGTCCTTCCGGTTGGGGAGTTCTCGGAGCCGTTTGTACACTTCATCACTCAATGGTAAGCTTCGTTTGCAAATGTGCCGTGCCCTCCATGTAAACGATACATGCCATTAACTCCCCATATCACAGGACCTTATGGCTTCCTCCGGGCCTCCGGGGACCTGGCAGGGCTTGGCCAGCTGGGCCAGCAAAGCTCAGCAAACTGTTTAAATTATGTAAACGTTATTTACACAAAGGGTCATAAAAGCACTTCAGAAGGGGGACATTTTTGGCCCCCACCCCCTCTTTAATAAACAACTGGGAATCCGGGTGTATTCTCCAAGAACCGGTGCTGCGCATTTGTACATGCACACACACGCATGTGTTCGAAATCACTTGAAGAGGGATGATAGATAATCATATTTATAACTCTATTATTCAAGCATTTCTCATCTTGCTTAGAAAAATCGGCTCCGCTTTTAAAGTGGTCTAAACAGCACACTTGATTAATTTGTGGGCTTTTCATTTGGAAGAGATTTTATGGGGTCTGTCTTCGGGAGGTGTTCTGATGGGGGGTGCATCTTTTAAACCACACTGTAGGGCATGTTTTCATCCTTCCAGACACACTGCCTTGTTCAGTGGGGAACGCTCCTTAAATTAAGCAGCGCCATTAAAAGGAAATGGGTATAGTTTAAAGTCAGAACCTCCTGAGCACCAAAAGGTTAACTTATATAGCAAAGACATGTTTTAATGCCTCTTTCATATGGAGAGCTCATAAACAAGCATTTAAGTGCTAAAAGGACAAGCGAGATTGAACTTGGTCTAAATGTGGTGGATTTGATCGAGGATTCCTCTTTTTCCTCCCAAACAAAATAGCATAATTCAGTAGAGGAATGGAAAACAAAACAACCCACACACCTAGCCATACACTTACTGAAATATAACAACCACCACCCTGCATTACAAGGGGAAAGACATCTGTTATACCAATAAAGTTGCACCACTTTTAAACAAACTGGAGATCTGATCTCTTTTGAGGAAGGGGCAGGCGTGAGAGGTCCGTCAAAGCTCTGTCCAAAGCTAATAAAAGAAAATTACTCGCACCGCCACACAGAATTGGGCCAGCCGCTTGCAGTACTAATAGGAATATCTGTGTTGAAAAATATTGATGCTGGCTATCAAAACTGACCCCCCCCCCAGCCCCTTTCTCTTTTCTTTATTTTTTTTTCTTTTTTT